GTACCTAGTCTGAGATATTAAGAGAAATCTTACAAGCTTGTCTAGGCCAACCAGAGTTTTTTCAAACCGTTGTCTGAAAAAATCAGAGAAACCCCAAAAAACCTGTCTGAAAATCAGACAATCAGACAAAAAAAACTGCTATTTAGGACCCTGGTGGGTGATGCCCTCCGCACGACAGAACTGGCCAAGCCGACCGAAGGCAAACTCACCGCCACGGTTGGAGTGGAGACGAAGCACCGGCAGGGCGCTTTCAGCGTTTTTTTAGAAGTGAACTCTGATCAATCAGCGTGACTAGTGTAGTGAGGCCTGTTTTTCCAGCGTCGTACTGGGCACCGACCCACCCGTGCGTCGTGTAATATCGGATTCCGAGCCCCAACCCCCCCACCCTTTATTTCTGAATTTCCCCCCCACCCTCCCTGTCAATCACGCCAACTTGACTGTGACCGACCAAGACTGTACCCAGGAACCTGTGACAAATACTGGGCATGTATTTAGGAACCCGACGGCAAAATAGTAGGGGGGTTATCAAGTTGGGACCCCTCTTGATCAACACTCCTTGTGTGTCGAGGTGCGTTTTCTTTATTCAGAGCTGGGCAGCAGCCCGCACTGTTCGATACTCAGAACAAACCCAGGGAATGCACAAAAAAAAGGAATAGCAAAGGGGGGACCCTCTTGAACCCACTTGCAGAAAAAGCCGAGGCCCACGTGGTCTGCGACAAACGTCGCAAGGGGGCTGCACGACGTGCCAAGCTGTCAATATTTTTTCCGGCGCATGGCCGAACCGGAGACGGAAGAGGTCGTCAAGGCGGGGGTAGCAGCGGACGGCGGTGTCTTGGGACAGTCGCACACAGTGCCGCGGCGGGGGCCGGTCTGAAAGCTGGTGCTGACAGGTCACCTCACTGAAGACGCCACCCAACGCAAAGTTGTGCGCGCCGCCACCGCGACCGCCACCACCAAAGGCTTCAAGCCGCCACTGCGGCGGAGGTCCCCACAGCTGCTGCTGCTGCTGCTACTGGGGCTGCTGCTGCTGCTGCTGCTGCATGGGGGCATCAGCCCCGGCCCCCTCGTGTGCACGACCGGCACTCGTACCACCTCCGCCACCGAGGCCACCCCTGCCACCCCTCCCTCCGCCACGCCCCCCCTTGCAGCGGTGGCCCTTACCCTGACGAGGCTGCGCTGAGGTGCCGCGGTGGTCTGAGCAGTAGGGGTTGTCTTAGTGACAGCGGCAGAATCGTTACAGTAAGTGCACTGGAAGGGTGTGAGAGTACGACCCCGTTACACCACTTGACCCTTTCCTTATTTCCTTTCTACTTCATTTCTCTTTTTATCCCATCTCATTTGGTTTCCTATTCTCCATTTTCCATTATCCTTTGGTTTATCCTGATATTATATTTATATCACCGACCAGGCTCGGGATGTACTGGCGCGCTATATCTAGCGTAATCTTGCCGTAATTCCTTAAAGCCAATAGCCTCGCGTGGCTATACGCAGGGTGATTCTATTTTCTAGAAGGGTCTATTCCCTTGGATAGGATAAACCTGGTTACCTGATGTACTCTGGAAGTATAAAAGCGCCTTGTATCCATCGATAGTGCAATCTTTCCTCGAGACGTTTGATCCTGTAACACTTGGTAATCAGAGCTTTTCTCACTCGGCCGCGCTCAACAAAGCAGCAGCAGCGGGAAAACCTGCCTCGAAAAACCGCCGGGGGCGACGAATTCGACGCCAATTTTGGTAAGCACCAGCTCTGCGTTTTGTGAATTACCCCCCCTGCGCGTGTTTTGAACAGAATGGCGACCTTCGACAACGCCGAGGTTACCCAGCAGCTCTTCGCGAGCATGGCAGCCCTTCAGGAGGAGATGCGAGCAAATCGCGAAGCGTGGCAAAACGAGAAAAAAATCATCGACATCGACAGTTCGGGAGTGTAGCACAGTGTACGCCGCAGATGGAACAATTTTATAAGCGAATTCCCGACCTGTCTGAAGGGGAAAGTACAGTCTTACCTCGCCAGGCTGAAGACCGAAGTCAAACGACAGGTAGCAGCGTCAAACTACGCGAGCTACAGTGACGTCGTTTCGGCAGCGGAGCGCTGCGACTTGGTCAACGCCGGGACACAACGGACGCACGTCGGCAGTACACGACAGGGCGACCGCTCGGCTCACACCACGTTCGCTGACCCGATGGAAATCGGCAGGTTCGACGCGCGGCCACGTCCGAAAAACACCAACTACACGTGTGATTTTTGCGGGGTGCCGGGCCATCGAATCTTCGACTGCAACAAAATGAAAGTCGCACGCGCAGAGTATCGGGCACGCAACAGTGGCGGAAATCCTTCTGCCAATCAGAAGACAAAAATGTGGAGTTGCCAGTGATTGCGGATCTAGCTGGCGAAAAAGAAAAGATCCGGAAGCGGCCGCGGGATTCCGAGAAAATCAACTTCAACGAAGCTGATTCGACGCGAGCAGGAGGAAATGATGGGGGAAAATCTCCACCCCACGACCAGTCTTCGCCAGAGAAAATCGCCGAGAAAAAATCCGACTCCGCGAAAAAGACTCGGCCAAGACGGGGAAACTCCTAGAAGACCCAAGAAATTATGAGGATTCGTTAAAGTTATCTTATAAAGATGCTTTAATGAAAAATTATGATTCTCGAGGGGCTAGAGCCTTGGAGAAAATTCGGGAGGGACTCCAGAAGTAGCAGAAAGCTGTGGAGATTATACCAGTACCGGACAACTTGGGGAAAAATTGAAGGAGTGTGGAAAGAAGCCGACCTTTCCACGGAGTCAACGTCCTCTCCCGGCACCAGCCCACGACTACCCGTTCCCAAGGGAAGACGTCGGTAGAGCTGAAGCAACTCAAGAGGAAGCTAGGGGAGCGTTCGAAGTCCCTTAAGAAGCTCTGCACTGCCTTCGTGACTGCTCTCATCAACAACATCAAGGGGCGGCTGGAGGATCTTGCGACCTTAGACGGATCTAAACTCTTCAGGCAGAGGTCGTACCCGAAGAGCGCGGCAAAGCGGGAGCGGCGCCTGCTGCAGTGGTTGCACTCCCTGCGCCTGCTCTACAAGCGTGACGCGACAGCACCGGACACTCTGCCAGGTTTTGTTTTCCCCACCGCTAGCTCTACTTGCCCTTGTCTTTCAAACCGCACCGTACTCGCTGTAACAAATGTTGAACTCGTTGCCTTTGTCCCATTATAACCGTTTCATTTGCCTACCGTCACTGCAACCACGTCAGGAATAAACTGGGCGAAGGCGGAGAAGGAGTTATGCAACTTCAGCACGATCATGCGCACGCATCAAGCTGATACGGGCTTCCTTGACGGCCTGAAGAATATGTTGGGCTCGCCGGACTGGCAAACTACCTACCCCAACCTGGTTCTGCTCTAGATTGCTGTTGCTGTGCTCCCTCTTAGCACCGTGGAGTGCGAGAGGGGCTTCAGCAGGCAGAATGTGATCAATTCCTGGCTCTGGGGGAATCTCTGCGATGCAAAGCTGGCAGATCTGATGACAATATCCCTCCTGGAGTACGAGATGCATTGGGATGAGCTCGTGGGGAGGTGGCGCAAGGCGAAGAAGCGGCGCCCTGCGAGGGCGGTAGTGATGGCTGCAGTCCCGTCCACCAATAAGCGACCAAGGTCGGAAGCAGTCAGGGCGGCAAAGGTAGCAGTAGCAGCAGCAGAAGCAGTAGCACGCCATGAAGCAGCAGTTTCGGAAGGTGAAGCTGCAAGAGCGGATGAGGAACTTGGCATGGCATATTGGAGGAGGAAGGGGAAAAGCAAGATCCCGGAAGTCGAAGAAGAGGAGAGTGAGGAGGACGATAACCCTTTTGCCTTTGAATCCGAATCTGAATATGACTCTTCTGAGTAGTGCAGAGGAACAGACGTGGAAGCAGCAGCAGCAGCATCTGCAGAAGTACCAGCAGCTACATTGGCAGCAGCAGTACCAGCAGCTTCATTGGCAGCAGCAGTACCAGCAGCAACAGTCCTGCTGCAGGTGGCGGCACTAGCAGAGCCGTATTTGTAGCGGCACTAGCAGAGGAGTAAATGCAGTAACCATAGCTCTTGAAGCATCGGCAGTAGCCGGTCCTATGGCAGCACCAGCTTTTTTAGCCTTAGTGACGGCGTGTCCTTAGGGAGCACTAGTACATTAATATTATTCTATCTGATTTGTTCTAGCAGCAGTAGATTGCTAACTACTTTAATTGTAATTGCTTGGGCTATGGCCTTCAATTCAGACCAAGCTGAGCGTTTCATCTGCAAAATCAGACGATCGTCTACATTCTGTCTGAAAATACAGATAACCTAAAAAAATCCATCTGTTCATCAGACGAGCATGTCTCTGGCCGTCTGATTTTCAGACGTCCCAAAATCCTAGCAAGAGCCCTGGATGCCACGCGAGAAAATGCCCAAGTGTCCAATGGGCACCGAGGAATCTTCCAGCGGTAGGAAGTTTGGCAGCAAATGGCGAACAGTCAGCGGGCGGCTCGCGTGAAACCGCCCAGGAATCCAGGCCATGCGTATGTGTGTCTATAGGGAGTACGGGGGATATTCGGGGGTATGCCCCCTATATGAATACCCACGGGGTGGTACATACACCAACTCTGATAAATCAGAGAAAAGAGAACTTTCAAAAAAAAAACCCAGGACCATCAGAGTGACTTCCAAAAACGACTCTGATTTTCAGAGAAACAGAGTGATTTACTCTGATAAAATAAGCCCTGGACACAAGGTCTTTAAAGACCTTCCCATTCTTCTTTGTAGCAAGCACCTGTAAAGATCTTGCAGGATCCGTAGCAACCGCCATTTGTAACCAGAACTCGGTAAGAGTTTCTCTATAGCGAATCCTTGGACAAATCCGCGTCGTCAAATCTCAGATGTTCGCAGCCCGGGCCGATCACGCCGGCGAACCATCCATTCCTCGAGAATGGGGATCTGTTCAGCTTTGTTCTGCCTCATGCTAATCTCTAGGCCAGAAAAAACGTTGCTGCTGCTTCGGACTTCATCATTTCCTGAAGCATGAGCTACAGACCGTATGACAGAGCCCGCTCTGTCAGCCCGGGACTGTCCATGCCTACATTCCGCGGCCTGCTAGGAGTTGTTACGCCTGGTATAGAAAACGCGGTTGCTGCTCCAGACGATGGTCGCCTTTTCGTGGAGTTTTGAATGCGAGTTGCAATTCCGTCTGCTTCACAACTGATCCTGGATCCCAATGCTCTACCCTTCTCTCGCTGGCTCTCTCGCCAGCTCGCTCGGACCCTTTGTCTCTCTGACCTTCGGAAATGCCTCAAGGGCTGGGCCGTGGTGTGACCACTCCATACTACATCGCTGACTAGCTACTAGAATAACCGTCATCAGGCTCTTAGACTATGGCTCCTAAATGCTGTAATCTGTGACTTCCCTGACGGCTTGCAAAGCCATGGACAGAGAGAGAGTCGGATGTGCATTCCGAGCGTCGTGTGGATTTTTAACCGTGCGTTAAATCTCGCTGTCGATGCAGCTGACGGATCTGTTACGCCGACGGCACGCGCGAGCATCTAACGCAAATCAGACTAGTTCTAGCATATTTTTTCTCAGCAGACGGACGGCTACGATGGCCAGTAGCATCCGTCTCCAAATACTTAATACCGGCGAATCCAAACCGGTAGCATCCGTTTGCAGATAGTCCGAAGAGATTCCAAGTTCCAGACAGCCACGATGTCCGGTAACGTTTGTCTTGATGGGCCTTGAGGCGTCTGAAAGAAAACGGTAACATTCGTCTGCAGAATGCCTGAGAATTTTTCAAGATAGAGATAGCCACAATTCCCGGTAACATTCGTCTGATAGACATTGCGGTGTCTGAAAATTCAATCTGGTAGCATCCGTCCGAAGTGGGTTTGAGAACTTTTCAATTTGCGGACAGCCACGTTACCCGGTAGCATTTCGTCTGCAGGCAGTTTAGAATCATCTCAAGCTCCAGACAGCCGCGATGGCGGGCAACATTCGGCTGCAGCGGCGGCTACAGCGCAAGGCGCAGGCGCGGCGGCAGCAGCTGAGTTACCGCACGATCCGGTCCGCGTTCCTCGTGGCGGTGCTGTGCTCCGCCACGTACGCCTGGGTCATCTTCCTCAAGGGCTCACGACCATACGTACGTACGCGTGGGTCATTTTCCTCAAAGGGTCACGACCATACGTACGTGAGGCGATGCTTCTCCGTACTATCTCACATCCGTTCGTATTCAGAAATAGGCAAGAGCTGCGCAAACCAAATGAGATACTGCACGACGCGAATGATCGTATTCCCCGTTCCACTCGCCCTTCCTCTTCCCTTGTGCGTAATATGTGGTGGTGGGGACCATCCACGGGCGACCATCCCGACCTCATCAAGGCCCGACACGACAGCAACCTCTCCCTCCCTCCCCACCCTCTCTTTTCCCCTCCTCCCTCCCCCGCTCCCCCCCCTTTGTGCCTCGGCTGCCCTGCAGTGGTGGTGGGGTCCATCCACGGGCGACCATCCCGACCTCATCAAGGCCCGCTTCGCCAGCGTAAGTACTACCTTGAATCTGTCAGCCGTTTCTCATTTTCCATCTCCTCCCAATCTGTCAGCTTCGTGCCCCGCCGCTTGGTGGCCCACTCCTTGGTGCCCCGCCGCTTGGTGCCCCACTCCTTGGCGCCCAGCTCCTTGGTGCCCCACTCCTTGGTGCCCCACCCCACAATTCAATGCGCAACCCACGTCCGTTTCTCTCTCGGCGCGAAAGCAATGCACTGATCAGAATGCCTTCCCTCCGTGCTCCACCCTCTCCTCCTCCAGAGACCGCCTGAGCCAGCGAACCTGTGGGACAACCCCGTGAAGGGCAAGTGGAAGCAGTGCGTGCGGCCGTCCCCAACATATGCTGGTGAGTGAGAGCTGAGTGAATAGTGGGGAGGGACGGGTACGCGTTACATGCACCCACGTGAGAACACTAGCAGAGGGCGCCTGAGCCGGCAAATTTGTGGGACAGCCCCATGAAGGGCAAGTGGAAGCAGTGCGTGCGGCCCTCCCCAGCATATTCTGGTGAGTGATTAGTTGTGAGGGATTTTGGAGGCGCCTCAAGTTAGCGTATGCTGGTGAGTGATTACTGGGGAGGGATGACACGTTTCATTCACTCTCGTGACAACAGGAGCAGAGAGCGCCTGAGCTGGCGAACCTGTGGGACAACCCAATGAAGGGCAAGTGGAAGCAGTGCGTGCGGCCGTCCCCAGCATATGCTGGTGAGTGAGTGGGAGCAGCAGAGTGAGGGAGAACGTGCATTTCTCTCAGTCGTTTTTTTAGGCGCCTCAAGAAGTGGAAGCAGTGCGTGCGGCCCTCCCCACCATTTGCTGGTGAGTGTGAACCGAGTAGTAAAGAAGAGCTTTTGAGTCGACTCAAAAGTCACCCCAGCATATGCTGGTGAGTGAGAACCGAGTAGTAAAGAAGAGTGTTAACATTACTTGACTCGTTTGTGTGCTTCCGCCTCTCTTGTTCAGAACAATCACAAGATTGCACTCTTTTGTTTTCCGCTTCTAATTGGTTTATTTCCCTGAACTACACAATTCACAGCCTACTGGCCACGCTTCAAGAGGCAGTCGCCCGATCAAAACATCCTGTGTCCCGCTTTCTTTTGAGTCGACTCAAAAGCAAAACATCCTGTGCCCCGCTTTCAGCCTTTCATCCCTCTCTCCCCCCCCCCACCCCACCGCTACTACCACCACCCGGGCTGCCTGCCTGCAGACGGGCCTCTCTACGAGTCAACGGGGTTTCTGCAGGTGTTTCTTGATGGCGGTCTCAACCAGCAGCGCATCAGTGTGAGCTGTTGTTTTATTTCTTAACCGCCTCGAAAATAGACTCCTCAGCACCGCATCAGTGTGAGCTGTTGTTTGATTTCTTAACCGCCTCGAAAATAGACTCCTCAGCACCGCATCAGTGTGAGCTGTTGTTTGATTTCTTAACCGCCTCGAAAATAGACTCCTCAGCACCGCATCAGCGTAAGCTGTCCTTTTATCCCTGTGATTCTTGTTCTTGCCCAATTCGTCCTTTGTATTAGGTAGGGAGGGGTACAGGCATTGTACGGTAAGCACGTACCAGGCACAAGACACTTCTTGTTCTTGCCCTTCTCTTCCATCGCTTGTGGCGTCTTGAGTAGTTAAAGCTGAGTAAATACTCCCCCCTTTTCCCCCACCCGCCACCCCCTTGCCTTCCCTTGTTGCTTTCAAACTGGTTTTTGAGTCGTGTCGACTAGCTTCTCAATTTTGACTGACTCAGGTGCGCTTCCTCCCCTCTTTACGCTCAGATCTGCAATGCGGTGGCCGTGGCTCGCCTTCTCAATGCCACGCTGCTCATCCCGCACTTCCAAATCAACCCTGTCTGGCTCGACAACAGGTACGGTATGGCTGGCTCGGCAACAGGTATGGCCGTTTGGCTGGGGGAACAGGTATGGACGCCAGGTTTGGCAAGTGGTGCGGGAGCCTGGCTTGACCACGGGTATGGAAGTCTGATTGTGAGCAGTGAAGTGGTTGAATAATGCGGTAGTCATGGGTGGGGGATACAAGGCAATGTGGATGGCACGAGTGCAATAGCATGCTGTATTGAAGCAGGAAGAAAAAATCCTTAAGAAAAGCTCACAGCAGACTTTTGAGTCGACTCAAAAGAAAAAAAGCCATAAGAAAAGCTCACAGCAAGGCATGGCACATGAGGAGAAGGAGCATGGAAACACCAGCCAGTTCTCCCTCATCATCCTCTCCATCCCCCTCCCTTTTCGCCCTCTTTTCCAGTCAGTTTGAGGACATATTCGATATAGAGCACTTCATGCACTACCTGAGGCACGACGTGCTTATAGTGAGGCAGCTGCCGCAGCAGTACAAGTGGAGCACGCGGGACTTCTACAGCACGGGCGTCCACCAGAACCGAATCAAGTTCGCCCCCATGCACGCCTCCCCCGCCTGGTACCTCAAGAACGTGCTGCCAAAGCTGCAGCGGTGAGTGCTTCTCCCCAAACCAATAGCTGCAGAGGTGAGTGTGTTGGCTGGCTGGTAGGCAGGCACTGAACCGTGCTTGTATAGCTCAGTGCCTCCAAGCGAACTTCTACGACACGGGCATGCACCAAAACCGCATCAAGTTCTCCCATATGCACGCCTCCCCTCAGTGGTACCTCAAGAACGTGCTGCCCAAGCTGCAGCGGCGAGTGGTCCCTCTTAGCTAAGTGTCTAATCTGTAAGTTCGGCGAAAGGAGTTCGGCCCCGTGCTCGCGTCCCCCAAATTGTCCCTCAGGGTCGCCCTGCCCAAGCGGCAGCAGTGAGTGTGATTCTGAGAACTGGTACCTCAGGCGACTGGTAACCCCGAGGTACCTCAGGCAACCGCGCTGGCCACACTCACTGTAACCACGACCTTGGGACATCCAGCGCCTGCGGTGCTGCATCAACCTCAACCTCTGTGTGAAGCACTCCCCTCCCCTCTTCTGCCTCTGTCCTCTATCTCCCCCCTGGCAGGCATGGCATGGTGGCCGTAGAGCGCCCTTCAACCACCGCCTTGCCTTTGACGGCCTGCCTGCAGCCAGACATGAACAATGGAATGGAGGCTACATCAGCGCGTACAATGAAGCCTCAATACCTGAGTGCGGTTCTGTCTCCCCCTCCCTCCCTCATGCATCAGCCACGGCGTGGTGGCCATAGCGCCCTTCACCCACCGCCTCGCCTTTGACGGCCTGCCGCCAGACATCCAGCGCCTGCGGTGCCGCGTCAACTTCCACGCCCTGCGATTCGTGGAGCCCGTCAGGAGGCTCGGGTGAGTGAAGGAGGCTCGGGTGGGCGAGGAGGCTCGGGTGATTGAAGGAGGCTCGGGTGAGGGAAAGAGGTTCGGGAGAAAGGGGGCTCGGGTGAGTGACGGAGGCTCAGGTAAGTGAAGGAGGCTCGGGTGAGTGCAGGAGGTTCGGGTGAGCGAAGGAGGTTCGGGTGAGTGAGGAGGTTTGGGTGAGTGAGGAGGCTCAAGTGAGTGAAGGAGGTTCGGGTGAGTGAGGAGGTTTGGGTGATTGAGAAGGTTTGGGTAATTGAGGAGGTTTGGGTGGCTTATGGAATGGAGTTTGTTTTTCCAGGTCTCCTCACCCATCCTCCCTGCCCTGCCCTCTTATCTCCCCTGTCCACCTCTTATCCAAGCAAGATCATCGTTGATGGGCTGAGGGACTCCAGGTCAGCAGGAAGCACGTTGGCCGATTTTTTAGGCGCTTGAAAGTACCCCCTTACCTCTCTTGCCCTTTCCTGCCCATCCCTTCCCCCAGCCTGATTCTCGTTGAGATGCTTAGGAACCCAACCAGGCGGTATGGAGGCGAGGTTTGAGGCTCCTTCAATCTTTGACCCCATTTTCCTCCCTTGCCTTATCCGCCCATCTCTCCGCCCAGCAAAACTCTTGTGGTGGAGAGGCTGAGAGGGACCCAACCAGGCGGCATGTGCGGTGAGGTTTGAGGGGCCTTCAATCTTCGACCCGATTCTCCTATCCCTATCACCCTCTCTTATCCGCCCATCTCTTCTCCCAGCAAGATCCTCGTTGAGAGGCTGAGGGACCCGAACAGGCGGCATGTGAGGCGAGGAGTGCTGTTTGGGAAAGGGGGGGATGTGTCGAGCTATGGTGCCAAGGGGAAGGGGGGAGGGATTGGGGAGGTAGCAGGGGAACCCGAGAAAGGGGGGGAAGCGAAGGAGGTGGGCAGTGGTGGCGTGGATACAGGGGAGGGGGGAGAGAGGAAGGGCGGACAAAGTGAGGGAAAAGAGGAGAGTGAATTGCAAGGTGAGGGAGGAGAGGGGAAGGGAGGCGAGAAGAACGTGGATGGAAGTGGAGGAGTTGGGGCAGCTGATGCTGAGGGGAGGGTGCTTGAAGAAGATGGGAAGGGCTCTTCTGCGATATCGGCTGGTGCTGCTGGTGGTTCTGGTGATGCTGGTGCTGATGGTGGTGGTGGTGGTGCTGCTGGTGCTGCTGCTGCTGATGGTGGTGCTGCTGCTGCTACTGATGGTGGTGGTGGTGTCACTACTGCTGGTGATGGCAGAGATGATGCTGACGCAGAGCAGCAAGCGAGCAAGGGTCGGGTTGAAACAGTGGAGGAGGACGAGGGGAGAGAAGCACAGAGCGAGGATGAGGGGGAAGACGAGGGGGCGAGGGAGAGTGAGGGGAGGGGAGGGGATGCAAGGCGGAGACTGATGGGCATCTCGAGCAGCCTGGGTGCTCTGGGGAAGGAGGGGCGAGGAGGGGAGGGAGGAGGGGGAGGAGGACGACGAGGAGGAGGAGAAGGAGAGGGTGTTGTCGCTGCTGGTAATCTTGGAGAGGAGGATTCGGAGGAGGGGAGTGAGGGGGCGTTCTGGAGTGAGGACGGGGCGATTGACGAGGAGGCCAAGGAGCGGGTGAGAATGGCGCTGCAAGCAGGGAGGGCAGGGAGAGCGGGAGTAGCAGAGGGAAAGACGGCAGGGGTGGTAGGTGAGGCGAGGGCAAGGGTGGCTGGGAATCCAAGTGGCGGGAACGGGATAGGGGGTTTAAGTGTGCCAGGAGCTGCCGCTGTGGAGGTCGGAGAGGTGGCGAATGAAGAGGGGGGGGCGGTGGACGGTCTGTCGCAGATAGAGGAAAGTGGCGAAGGGGAGATAGTTGGTGGTGAGGATGGTAGTTCAGTCGGCGGGAGCAGGAGCAGCAAGGAGAATGAGAGGGTCAGCCAGTCGGGCAGTGGCGGTATGCTGAGTGGCCGGAAGGAAGGGCGATGGGCGCACAAGGAGAGGAGAAGGAAGCGATTTGTGGCGATGCACCTGCGGTTTGATATGGTGAGGATGGATGAGTGCCCTTGCTGCTATGCTATCTACCCTTGGTTGCTCCCATCACCCAACACCCATCGGGATCAACCATCACCGACCACCCATCACCGACCACCCATCACGGACCACCCATCACTGACCACCCATCACCAATCACCAATCACCCATCACCAATCACCCATCACTCATCACTCATCGGAATCATCCATCGACCACCACCCATCACCAATCACCCATCACCCATCACCCACCAGTCACCAATCGCTCATCACCCACCAATCACCCATCACCCATCACCAATCACCCATCGCCCATCACCCAACGGAATTACTCATCACCCATCACCAATCAAAATCACCCATCACCCTTCCCAGCTGTCCAACCACTCAAATGGGACGTGCGAGCATTACCCCGGGGCCAGGCAAGTGCCACAGATCCTCTTTTTAGGCGCCTCAGAAATCCTCTTTTTAGGCGCCTCAAAAATCCTCTTTTTAAGGTGCCTCAAAAATTGTGCGAGCATCACCCCAGGGCCAGGCAACTGCCACACACCCTCACTCCCCTCCTAAGCTATCCCCCCACCCCCCACCCCCCCTCCTCCCTCGTCTCCTTCCATGTGACTGTAGGACATGGTGGCGCACTCTGCATGTGACTATGGCGAGACATGGGCGGAGAGGGAGGCTCTGTCACGGTACCGGGAGTACGCATGGCTGGGCCGCGTGGACAAGCTGCGCTTCTCCTCAGACGAGCTGCGCCTCGCGGGCAAGTGCCCCCTCACTCCCGAGGAGGTTGGCCTTGTTTTGGCCGCGTTGGGCTTCTCCTCGCGAACCAGGCTCTACGTGGCCACCTATCAGGTGAGAATCAGGGGAGTTTGGGTGGCTGGGCCGCGTGGACAAGCTGCGCTTCTCCTCGGACGAGCTGCGCCTCGCGGGCAAGTGCCCCCTCACTCCCGAGGAGGTTGGACTAGTGTTGGGGGCCCTTGGGTTCTCCTCGCGAACCCGGCTCTACATGGCTACGTACCAGGTGAGTGCCAGACGAGCATGCATGGCTGGTGGGTAGCCACGTAAGAGGCTGGGCCGCGTGGACAAGCTGCGCTTCTTCTCGGACGAGCTGCGCCTGGCGGGCAAGTGCGCGCTCACTCCAGGAGAAGTGGGGCTCGTGCTGGCAGCACTGGGCTTCTCCTCGCGTGCCAGGCTCTACGTGACCACCCATCAGGTGAGACAGTTTTTGAGGCGCCTCAAAAATATTTTTGAGGCGTGTCAAAGGTGAGACCAGCTGCGGTTCTCGTCGCAGTGCAGGTAATGCTGGGCCGCGTGGACAAGCTGCGCTTCTCCCCAGACGAGCTGCGCCTGGCGGGCAAGTGCCCTCTCACTCCAGAGGAGGTTGGAGTAGTGCTCGCTGCCCTGGGCTTCTGCCTTAGGACTACGTACCAGGTGAACACCCAGGCTAAGCACTGGTGTATGGTGGTGAGAAGAGAAGCCCAGGAGGACGCCGTTTCTCCTCACCCCCTGCTCTGGCTCTTCAAAAGCTGGAGGACGAAACCATCCTGGCCAAGGAGGGGGGCTCAGGTGTATAGGTTTTTTTTCCCCCCTCTCAAAACGGAAATACTAACACACGGACGAAACCTGGTTGGCCAAGGAGAGAGGGGGGGGGGGGTCAGGTGTATGAGTTTCTTTCCTTGGCATTCCCCATTTACTACAAGTGTACTGCAGGGAGAAGTTTTGAGGCGCCTCAAAACTATAATTCTTTCCTTGGCATTCCGCATTTACTACAAGTGTACTGCAAAAGCTGGAGAAGCGCATCGCCCCGTTGTGCAGGCTGTTCCCTTGGCTGGAGGACAAGACAAGCCTGGCGACGGAGGAGGAGCTTAGGTCCCTCAACACACTGTATCGCCCCTGCTTCCCTGTTTCTCTGCTTCCCTGTTGCCATGTTGCCCTGTTGCCCTGTTGCCCTGTTGCCCTGTTGCCCTGTTGCCCTGTTGCCCCGTTGCCCCGTTGCCCCGTTGCCCCGTTGCCCCGTTGCCCCGTTGCCCCGTTGCCCCGTTGCCCCGTTGCCCCGTTGCCCCGTTGCCCCGTTGCCCCGTTGCCCCGTTGCCCCGTTGCCCCGTTGCCCCGTTGCCCCGTTGCCCCGTTGCCCCGTTGCCCCGTTGCCCCGTTGCCCCGTTGCCCCGTTGCCCCGTTGCCCCGTTGCCCCGTTGCCCCGTTGCCCCGTTGCCCCGTTGCCCCGTTGCCCCGTTGCCCCGTTGCCCCGTTGCCCCGTTGCCCCGTTGCCCCGTTGCCCCGTCGCCCCGTCGCCCCGTCGCCCCGTTGCCCCGTTGCCCCGTTGCCCCGTTGCCCCGTTGCCCTGTTGCCCTGTTGCCCTGTTGCCCTGTTGCCCTGTTTCCATCTGGATCCTGCAGGTCTATGGCAGTGAGAAGCACTTAGCCCCCCTGTGACGCCTCTTCCCCTGGCTGGAGGACAAAACCAGCCAGGCGACAGAGGAGGAGCTGAGGCACTCTATCTCCTTCCTGCTTCCCATGCTTCCCTGTTTCCCCCTGTTTCCCCGTGGTCCTGCAGGTGTATGGCGGTGAGAAGCGCATAGCCCCCCTGCGCCGGCTGTTCCCCTGGCTGGAGGACAAGACCAGCCTGGCGACAGAGGAGGAGCTGAGACCGTTTCTGGGGAAGGCGTCGCTGCTGGCAGCGCTGGACTTCTACGTGAGCCGCTACAGCGACGTTTTCGTGTCGGCATCGCTGGGCAACATGCACAATGTGATGGTGAGGCAACATCTCATGGTGAGGCACTTTGCCATGGTGAGCTGATGATGAAATGGGTTACTAGTTTCTGGGGAAGGCGTCGCTGCTGGCAGCGCTGGACTTCTACGTGAGCTGCTACAGTGATGTGTTCGTGTAGGCCAGCCTTGCCGCATGCACAGTGTCTTGGTGCCCGTCCGTTAGATTGCCTGCCAGCCAGTACGTTACATGCTTCCAATGCATCCCTTACGTTCGTCGCATTTCAGGCTGCACATCGCGCATACTTTGGCGGTTTGAAGACAATCAACTTCAACGGTACACTCCTGGCAACGCTGCTTGCTGCTCCTCGGGGTGCCCTCAAATGGAACGACTTTGTTCGTGCTGTTCGGATTGGTCACCGGTCACGGATGGGCAAGATCAAATTGAGACGCCCCGGCCAGTCCATATACACATACCCTGCACCGGATTGCTTGTGCCCTGTGGGTTTACCGCCGCCTACTGTTGTTGGTACCACAATGGGTGTTAGTGATCCTGGAATGGGCATTAGGGATAGGCATGTAGGAGGTATTGATGAGACTCAGAATGGAGATGGTGTCAATAGGGTCAATATGGTTCAAAGACGATGATACATGTGATTATGTGGAAAAGCCCAAGATTGCATCAACCGTAAGAAGAAATAAGTCAAGCTGGACCAACCTATACTGTTCAGCTTGCAATGGTTTGGCTTATTTTTTTGCTTCCCACTTCAATATTGCATTTTGAAGCTTATTATTCATTTTTTGCCACTTAACCTCCTGAGTTTTGCGTTACTGTAAAAGATCAGCTCGGCAAACGGCGGGGATGGGTTGCCCCCTAGACTTGGGAAGCAAGTCGTGGAGATCACAGGGAGTAAAGGCTTATTTTTATTCGGTGTCATCCCAATTCGGTGTCATCCGAGAATACTGGAAACCAATCGTATGCTGTTAAGTTTCAGCAAAACGCACGTGATTGGTTTTCCTGCTTTCTAGGAAGACACCGACTTGGAAAGACAGCGAATAGAAATATGTCCTGAGTGACGAAACACTGACAATCATGGGAGAGGTCCTTTGAGTTGACTGCGAATAACGGATCTGCCTAGGAAGCGACGATCACGGAAGAAGACTTATGATTTTACGGCTGGCTGATCGCTCCAATCCCCGTTTCCTCTTATCGCAGCAGGCCTACAGCGAGCTAGCGTCGGCGTTTGTCGTAGCTGCAGCCTCTTAACTGTGTCGTCCGCATTGACTGTGGCGTGCCACGCCAGTGGCGTGCAGAACCTGTTTCTGAGTCGACTCAACAGCAGCATCGGTGGCTGACGTATCCGCAGTCTGTTGACCCCAGCGTCGACCTCTGCGTTGATCGCAGCGTTGACCTCAGCGTTGACCCCATTGTTGACCCCAGCGCTGACCGAGAGCTTGAGTGAACTCAAGTTGACCTTCCTCTGCAGATCCAGCGACCACCGGAGTTGAGCGAAAGCCGTGCAGGCATGGCCGCTAGAGGCAGGTTCGGCGGGGTCAAGCGAGAGAATGAAGGGTTCGACTTCCAATACCGCATGTCCGTCGACAACCGTGAGTGCTGACAAACTGAGTCTGACACGAGTGAGTGCTGACACGAGTGAGTGCTGACACTAGCGAGTGCTGACACGAGTGAGTGCTGACAGCAGTGGGTTGCGACACTAGTTGTCTGCTTGACAGCACAGCCTTGGATGGTCTACTGGGAGAATGGGATACATGATCCTCATTCACTTGAGACTGTTTCCGTTTCCGTTTCCGTTTCCGTTCCCCCCTTCCCCCCTTTCCCCCTTCTCCCCTTTCTCCCTTCCCCCTTTCCCCCCTTCTCCCCTCCCCCCATGTGCAGGATACAAGAGGGCCGCCGATGGCCGTCGCAGACTGAGACTACTGACTACGTTTCAGGTAATAAGGCACTTCTCTTCGTTTCGTTTCTGTGTCAGGCAGATTAAACGTGCAGTTACATACAACCTCGCATCGCAGCGCAGGCGATTGTGACGTTCTTTAAGGCTGTTTCGCCTCAAAGAAACATCTAAAGATAATTCCAGGTGACACAGCGATTCTTTGAGCTCGATCCACTTGTGGACTGAAACGACAGACTACCTTGCTTTTGAGTCGACTCAAAAGCAGACTACATTGCAGCTGATATTGTCATTTCAAGAAGCCCACGAGTGGGGGGAGTGCTCTAATCCACAACTCACTACTCGGAGCAAGACATCTTGAGAGCAACTCAAGCGCATTCACACAACTCGTTCTTTGCTATGCAACTGAATCTGTCACCACCAGTAGGCTACCACCTACCTACACGACTGCTCCCTTCTCTCGTCCACCTATCTCACCCATCCTCCCCATCCCTCCCCATCCTCCCCATCCCTCCCCATCCCTCCCCATCCCTCCCCATCCCTCCCAATCCCTTCACCACCACCACCAGTCGCTCCACAAGTTTCGCTACTGCTTACTGATCGTCAGATCGGAGTGCGCTTCACCTCATAATCCCTTGCTTCCCCTTCCCTCGCCCACCTCCCTTCACCACCGCCACCAGTCGCTCTACTCCTTCCTGCCTGTCCTGATAACCGCCTCGCTGATGGCCCGATGACTCGTGATTCAACTCAAGCTTCCACCATTTCTCCTTCCCTCTCCCACCTCCCTCCACCACCAGTCGCTCTACTCCTTCCTGCGGGTCCTAATCGCCACCTCGCTGATGGGCAAATGACTTGCAATTACTTACACTTCCACATGGCTCATTCCCTCTCCCATCTCCCTCCCTGCACTCCTCCACCAACCAGTCGCTCTACTCCTTTCTGCGGGTCCTAATCGCCGCCTCGTGGATGGCCCGGCCATTCATCGCGCCACGGCTGCAGGGGAGCGCAGCTGGGAGACCATGCCTGAGGCGCCTCAAAGCTGACCCCATGCATCCCCTTCCCTTACCCACCTCCCTCCCTCCCTCCCTCCCTCCCTCCCTCCCTCCACCACCTACCAGTCGCTCTACTCCTTCCTGCGGGTTCTGATAGCCGCCTCGCTGATGGCCCGGCCACTCATCACGGCACGGCTGCAAGGGAGCGCAGCTGGGGGACCAATCGCACTGCACGTGGACGTGAAGGAATCGCTGGCAGCCGCGCTTGGAGCAGCTGCTGCTCTCACAGGAAACCTTGGTATGTCAGTCACCTCAAACGTGCTACACGGGAGCACCAGAGACATAGGTATGTCACCCCAAGCATTCTACACGGGAGCACAGGACACCTAGGTGTGTGACCTCGAGCATTCTGCAGGGGAGCGCAGCTGGGGGAGCATTCGCACTCCAAGTGGACGTGAAGGAATCGCTGGCAGCCGCGCTAGGAGCAGCTGCCACCCTCACAGGGAATCTAGGTATATGTATATAATTTCCAGCTCATTACATGTATTATACGAACACTAGGTGTATCACCTTGATCACTTTACAGTTATTCCTGAAAAAGGTAAGCATCTTGCAGTTTTCTCAGGAGATGTTGGTACATCACCACCTCACTTAAACACAGTGCAGGCCTGGGAATCTAAAGGGCTCTCAGGGAATCTATGTACCGCACTGCTGAGATGATTCTAAAGAAATCTTTCTTCCTTGGTAACTCTTGATCTTGGGGGGCTTCACCCCAGCCAGTGTCTCACGTGCCGTCTCATTGGGGGGCTCCACCCCATGCCGCCTAGGCTTGAGCGAATTGCCCGCACGGGTCGGATACCCGGACCCGGATCCGCTTTTAGGCCGGGCCGGGTACCGGATCCTCGAGAATTACTCGGCGGGCCGGTTCTGGGTACCCGGCCGGGTATTCGATACCCGCTATCCGACTTGTTACCGGACCGGGTGGGTATCGGGTACCCGACCCGTGCGGGTAAATAATACCCGGGTTCGGGTAATGCTCCAATTTTGCAAGGCAAAATACACTCATACACGCACTTTCTTTTGTTTCGAAATTCATACGCTGTTGTTGCTACCCACCTGCACTCCCGGACAGGCCCAACCATGGCAAACGAGGGACAATCAGAGTACCCTAAACCTGTTTTTTAGGGCAGGTAGCAATACCCGGATACCCTGTTTTTACCATTACCGGGTCGGGTATACCCGGACCCGCCAGGCGGGTATTCTTTTACCCGCCCCCTAAGGCCGGGTCCGTGTAAGGGTCCTGGGCGAAAATGCCCGTCCCGAAGTCAGGTATTGCAAAACCGAGTCGGGTCGGGTAAATACCCGGTTTTGCTCAACCCTAATGCCGCCTCAATTACGTCTGGCCCAATGCTGTCCCGGCCCTTATCTCACTGCCCAACCACCCCTGCAGCATCAGGCACATCCCGCTCCCGAGTGCTGAAGCTGTACGCCGCGCTCTCCCTCATGGCCGCCCTCATGGCCTGCCTCGCTGCTCTCCTTATCAGTTGTCTCAATCAAAGCCTCTGTGCGCGTGTCCTGTGCCCCACCCACCGCAGCATCAGGCACATCCCGCTCCCGAGTGCTCAAGCTGTACGCCGCGCTCTCCCTCATGGCCGCCCTCGCTGCTCTCTTCCCCCTCCTCACGGGGCCACTCGTCTTCCCGGTATGCTCCGCCCCTTGCTTCTATAAATTTGTGTGCAAATGCATGCTTCTGCAGATCTGCTCTCCCAAGTGATCAGCTGCCTGGGGAGTGTGCATGCTCCTGCAGTAGGTGATGATTGAGAATTCTCAAAGATCAGCTGACTGACTCGGGATTGTGCATGCTCATGCACCGACCGTTCTGCCCTTTTCAACTGAAGCGAGCGCGTGTGCAGACCGACCATTGTCCCTCTTACTCATATAATTGCTTCTCGTAGCCTTCTCCCTCGCACCCACCAGCCCTGGCGACCTAACCCAAGAGATCATCTACCTTCTTTGTGGCCTGTTATTCTCCCTTGGACAGGACAAGTGGAAGGCAGTGAGCAGCAATGGTAGCCGTGGCAGCAGGAGCAGCACGGAGGGATGTGAATTCTGAGTCAACTTAAAGTCCCAAGAGACCGCCTATGTACCTTCTTTGTGGCCTGTTATTCTCCCTTGGACAGGACAAGTGGAAGGCAGTGAGCAGCAGTGGTAGCCATGGCAGCAGCAGCACAGAGGGAGGGAAGCAGTGGGACCAGCTTTGGACTGCTCTGGCTGCAGCATGCATTGTCATAGATACAGCAGGTAACCACCAAGCTTGGAGTTCGTAACACTGGGGTTTCATATCACAGTTGTATCATTCCTGCGACCCCCCCTTCTCAATCGGCTCTCTCCAACATCTCTGCCTCAATGTGTGTGCCTGTTGTTTTGAGTATTGCAGGAGTGCTCATTCACATCGTGGTTGTCTATGTATCTGTTTCCATGGCTGCTGCCGTTTCAACCCCGAAAAGGGCCTTGTGATTGGTTGTGGTTTCGTCAGTTGTTGACCCACCCATCCAATGGCTTGCATGTCAAACATGTGTAGTTATCATGTTTGTATAGACTGTATAGGGTCACCTTCTAGAGAGTACAACATTTAGGTATATGTTTGTGTACTCTCTCTCTCTTATTATTAATTCTAGGTTTGATATGGTATCACGAGTAGGTTTCGACCCCCCCCCCCCCCCCCCCCACCGCTTCCGCTCCTCCCGTCGCGTCTCCTAGCCTCGCCTCGCCCCTCCTGAGCCCAGTCGCGACCCCTCCCCCTAGCCCCGTCGCGCCCCTTCCAGGGCCTCGTAGCGCCCCTCCAGGCCCCGTCGCGCCCCCCCCCCCTTCCAGGGCTTCGTAACGCCCCTCCAGGCCCCCGTCGCGCCCCTCCAGGGCTCTGTAGCGCCCCTCCAGGGCCCCGTCGCGCCCCCTAGCGCCCCTCCAGGGCCCCGTCGCGCCCCTTCGCGCCCCTCCTGGGCCCCGTAGCGCCCCTCCAGGGCCCCGTCGCGCCCCTTAGCGCCCCTCCTGGGCCCCGTCGCGCTCCTCACAGGCCCCGTAGCGCCCCGTAGCGCCCCTCCTGGGCCTCGTCGCGCCCCTCCTGGGTTTCGTAGCGCCCCTCCTGGGCTTCGTAACGCCCCTCCCAGGCCCCGTCGCGCCCCTCCTGGGCTCCGTAGCGCCCCTACTGGGACCCGTCGCGCCCTCCCTGGGCCCTGTAGCGCCCCTCCTGGGCCCCGTCGTGCCCCTCCCAGGCCCCGTCGCGCCCCTCCTAGGCCCGTAGTGCCCCTCCTGGGCCCGTAGCGCCCCTCCTGGGCCCCCCCATTGCGCCCCTCCTGAGCCCCGCCGCGCCCCTCCTGGGCCCCCATTGCACCCCTCCTGGGCCCGTAGCGCCCCTCCTGGGCCTGTTGCGCCCCTCCTGGGCCCTGCCGCGCTCCTCCCTGGGCCCCGTATCCACCCTCCTGGGCCCCGTCGCCCCTGCTCGGCCCCGTCGCCCCTGCTCGGCCCCGTCGCCCCAGCTCGGCCCTGTCGCAGCCTCTCGGCCCCGTGGCGCCCGCCCTGCCCCTGTCGCAGCTGCCCGGCCCCTGTCGCACCTGCCCGGCCCCGTCGCGCCCGCCCGGCCCCGTCGCCCCCGCCCGGCCCTGCTGTGTCCTGCCCGGCCCCGTCGCTGCCGCCCGGCCCTGTCGCTGCCGCTCGGCCTCGTGGCTGCCGCCCGGCCCTGTCGCTGCCGCCCGGCCTCGTAGCTGCCGCCCGGCCTTGTCGCTGCCGCCCGGCCCCGTCGCGCCTGCCCGGCCCCGTCGCGCCTGCCCCGGCCCTCCATACTTCCTGGTACTGTCCCCCGTTCCCCGCACTACTTTGCACCCTCCTGCACTTTCCTGCCCCGCCTTGCACCGCATTGCACCTCACTGAACCGCACTGACCGCACTGCACCGCACTGGACCGCACTGCACCGCACTGCATCGCACTCCACTGTCCTCCACTGCCCCTCATGGCTGCTGAGCTTCGTTTTGATGCTGAGGGTCAGCCTCTGGAGTTCGAGGCGTGGTTGGCTGACCTTCGCCGCCACCTCACTGGTCAGCGGCAGGACGGCCACCCGCTTTCTGCACACCTAGACGGTATGCTCCCCTGCCCTGACCCCCCTGCTGTGCTGCCCGCTGATCCCACGCCCGCTGAGCGCGAGTCCACTGCCGCCGCTGCCCTTGCCCGCTCTGTCTGGCTTTCCCGCGATGCCCTTGCTCAGCTCGCCATTAGCAATGCCCTCCCCCCCCTTGAGCGCCCTCGCTTTAGAACCATTTCTACCGCCCAGGCCTACCTCGATGCTGTCATCAAGCGCTATTCTACCCCTCCTGCTGCCTCAGTGGGTCGCCTGATCCTCCCCCTGCTCTTTCCTGACCTGGCGTCCTTCCCCACTGTCTCTGACCTCGCTGCCCACCTGCGCTCGATAGATGAGGCCTGGCGCGCTGCCTGCACTGATGCACAGCTTAGAGTCCACCAGCCTCCCATGACCTCTACCCTCTACCTCCTTGCCTCCCGCCTCCCTGACCGCCTTGCCGCCGCCCGCGACCAGTTCCTTAGCATCCACCCTGCTGCTCTCACCCTCACCGACTTTGTTGACACCCTGACTGCCATAGAGACTCGTCACCGCTCCATAGCCCAGGCGAGCGGTACAGTACCGGTCCCTATCTTTCAGGGTTGTGCCCCTGCTCAGTGTACCTTCTCCGACGGCTCTGTCGCTGTGGCTGAGACTGCTGCTGCAGTGCAGTCCCGCTCGGGGAAGGGCCGCCGCCCCAAGGTTGGGAGCGGCGGAGGTGGCGGGGGTGCGGGTGGGGGTAGTGGTGGAGGCGGGTCGTCCGGTGCCGGTGCGGACGTGGGGACCCTGCCCGGTCCAGCTGCCCCGCTGCCTCCACCGTTGCAGCAGCCGCAGCAGCAGCAGCCTCCGCAGCAGCCTCAGCAGCCGCCGCAGACGAGGCCGGCGAGTGCTCTCCCGCCTGGGTGGCCTGGAGCTGGTGGTGGTCGTGCGCGTGGTGGTGCACCGGGTGGTGGTTCTGGAGGCGGGCCCTGTCAGTACCAGATCCAGACCGGTCCTCGCCGCGGCTTCGTTTGCGGTAAGATCGGTCATTCCACTCCTCGCTGTTTTCATCGTCTGGACGACCTGTTCCGCCAGCGCTTTGGCCCGGCGCCCGACCTCCCGGACTGGCACAGCTTGCTTAGGCGTAGCATTCGGATTTTTGACTTGGACATGGATGCCATTGTAGCAGCCTTGCATGTGATGTATGCCGATGACTCTAGTGTGCTTCCCTCTTATTACCCCGTGTTGCCTAGTGTAGCTGTGCCTAGCGTAGACTCCCCTGCTGCGTCAGGCGTAGGATCTCCTGCTTTGCTTAGCCTCGGTGCTTCCACCGCTTCACTGTCGCCCCGCGCGACTGCTGCGCTTTCCTTCACCTTGGACTCTGGCGCCTCCCGGTGTTTCTTCCGCGACTCCACGACGCTGACGCCGCTGCCTGTTCCCGCTGCAGTTACTCTTGCTGACCCCTCCGGTGGTCCCGTCGTTGCCCGCAGTTCCACCTCCCTTCCCTGTCCGGCGGTTCCTTCAGGTTCGCTCACCGGTCTGCATATCCCCTCGTTCTCCAGGAACCTAGTTGGTGTCGGCTGCCTCCAGGACCTTGGCGTCACCACTACGTTCCCTGGTCACGAGCGGTATGCTGTCTGTACCGAGGCCGCCACTGGTGCCCCCCTTACCACTTTCCCCCGGGACCCGGTGTCCGGCCTGTTCACACTTGACACCGCGACGTCCCCGGCTGGGTCTTCCCCCCAGGTAGCTGCGTCCACCCAGGTTGCTGCTGCGTGCTCCTGTCGGTCCCTCACTCATCCGACTCTCCTTTGGCACCACCGCCTTGGTCACCCTGCACTCCCGCGTCTGCGTCACATGTCCCAGCACGGTCTCGTCCTTGGTCTCCCCGGTTCGTTCCCTGAGTTTCCCTCATCCCCCGCCCCACCGTGCACGCCTTGTGTCGAGGGCCGGCTCCGCCGTGCCCCTCACTCCTCCTCTTTTCCCCCTACCACCGCACCCCTGCAGACTCTGCACATGGACGTCTGGGGCCCAGCCCCGGTCCATGGGCCGCGTCGCGAGCGCTTCTTCCTAGTGCTTGTCGACGACTTCACACGTTACACCACCGTCTTTCCCCTGGAGCGGAAGGCCGACGTGCCTGACGTTCTCATCCCCTGGCTTGTCTCTGCTCGTCTCCACCGCGGTCTCCCTGCCTTGCGCCTCCACTCCGACCGGGGTGGCGAGTTCGCCTCAGGTGTCCTTGGTCGCTTCTGTCGTGCGGAGGGCATCACCCAGACGTTTACCCTGCCGGACTCCCCGCAGCAGAATGGGGTCGCTGAGCGACGCATCGGTTTGGTCATGGAGGTGGCTCGCACCTCCATGATCCACGCCGGTGCACCCCATTTTCTGTGGCCGTTCGCCGTGCGCTACGCCGCTCACCAGCTTAACCTGTGGCCGCACCCCCAGCGGCCGCAGGTTTCGCCGACCCTTCTGTGGACCGGGTCCCCTGGTGACGCGTCTGCGTTCCACGTCTGGGGCTGCCTTGCTCACGTTCGTGCCTCTGGCACGGACAAGCTCACTGCCCGCACCCTCCCCTGCGTCTTCCTCGGTTTCCCCCTTGACGCGTCCGACTGGCACTTCTACCACCCGCCGTCTCACCGTTTCTTTCACTCTCGCGACGTCACCTTTGACGAGTCCGTCTCCTTCTACCGCCGCTTTCCCCACCGTGGTCCCCCGGTTACTCCCCCCCTGTTCCTGGTTCCTCCCTCCCTGGTGGCCCCTGCCCCTCCCCCCCCCCGCCCCCCCGTCCGGCCCCCTCTGGTGTGTCTCACGTCACCCCCCTCCCGTCGGTCGTTCCGGTCGACGAGTCTTCTGACTCTGGTAGTCCTTTGGCGCAGTCCTCGCCGTCTGTCCCTCCCCCGGTGTCTCCTCCTCCACCGCCTCCGCAGCCGCCGTCGCCGCAGCTGCTGCAGCCGTCGTCTCCGCCGCCGCCGCCGTCGAGGCCGTCGCTGCAGCCGCCGCCGCCGCCGCCGCCGTCGTCGCTGCCGCTGTTTGTGGACTCTGGGGGTGCTGGCGTTGAGGTGGGTACTAGTCCCGGGGCTCCTGTCGGGGCTTGTCCCGGCGGGCCTGGGGGTGGTACCGGTGCTGGCGGTGTTTCGGGCTCTGGGGGTGTCCCTTCTGGGGGTGCCGGTGTGGAGGGTTCGGGAGGTAGCCGTCGCGCAGCTTGTGGCCCTGGCGTTGGTGTTGTGTCGCCGCAGCAGCAGTCCCCGCCGGTGTCCGCCCTCCGTCTGCTCGGCCTTCCGTCCCCTGACCCTGCGCCTGTTCCTCTCCGGCCGTCTCCCCCTCTTCCCGTCTACGACCCCGTGTTCCCTCCGCCGGACTCGTCCCCGGCTCGTTTTCCCCCTCGTTCCCCACCCATGTCCCCTCCTCTGTCTCCTGACCCGACGCCGCCCTCTCACGTCTGGTCTCGCCGCCCCTCCCGTGCTCGTCCTGTCTCCCCCGTCCCGCGCACTCACCCTATGTTGCTCCGCTCCCACGCGTCTCGTCCTCCCCTCCTCCCGTCTCCTCCTCCGTCCTCTCTTGTCGTTGCGTCTCCTCCTCTGTCTGACTACTTTCGTGCCGCTCGTCCTCTTGTTCCTCAGGTCCTTGCCTCTCTCGTTACCGACCCGTCTGTTCCAGTGTCGAGTCTTGACGCCCTTGTCGCTGCGGTCGCTGACTTCGCCTCTACCCGCCGCCTTGACTACGCCTCCGCTCTGGTCTCTGACCCTGCCTGTCCTCCGTCTGTCGGGGGTGCTCCTGCCCTCGGCAGTGACGTCCTGGAGGACCGCCAGTTTGAGCTTGCTTTCCTGTCCGAGGCTGCTCCCCATCTCTGTTCCATGCTGCTAGTCCCTGAGGGTGACCCAGACGCTTTTGACATCCCGACCCCTCGTACTTACGCTGAGGCGGTTTCGGGACCTTGGGCCTCTCAGTGGATAGCTGCCATGGAGCAGGAGATGGCATCTTGGAGATTCACCGGCACCTTCGTCGACGCAGTTCCCCCACCTGGGGTGAACGTGGTCGATGGTCGTTGGCTCTTCAAGGTGAAGCGCCCTCCTGGAGAGCCGCCTGTGTTCAAGGCGCGTTACGTGGCTAGAGGCTTCAGTCAGCGCGAGGGGGTGGACTTCTTTCAGACTTTCGCTCCTACCCCGAAGATGACTACTCTTCGGGTTCTGCTACACGTAGCGGCTCAGCGTGACTACGAGCTTCACTCCCTCGACTTCTCCACTGCCTTTCTTCAGGGCAGCCTTCACGAGCAGGTCTACCTGCGTCGTCCTCAGGGCTTTACTGGCACCTTCCCCCCTGGGACCCAGTGGCTTCTGCGGCGCCCAGTCTACGGCCTGCGCCAGGCGCCTCGTGAGTGGCACGACACGCTGCGTGCTACTCTTGCTGACCTGCAGTTCTTTCCGTCCTCTGCAGACCCCTCGCTCTTCGTTCGTGCTGGCTCGACTCCGTTCTACATCCTCGTCTACGTAGACGACCTGGTCTTTGCCACAGCTGACAGAGACGCACTGGCCTCCGTGAAGGCAGAGCTGCTGAAGAGACACACCTGCACTGACCTTGGAGAGCTGCGCCGTTACCTTGGCTTGCAGATCTCCAGGGACAGAGCCGCGCGCACCATCACCCTGACTCAGTCACACTTGGTGCGCCAGGTCCTTCAGAGGTTCGGCCTTCAGTTCTCCTCCGCACAGCCCACCCCTCTTCCTCTGGACCACAGACTCTCCGCTCCAGTTCCTGAGGAGTCGGTAGATCCCAGTGGTCCTTACGCTGAGCTAGTGGGTTGCCTCATGTACCTGATGACTTGCACTCGCCCAGATCTCGCATACCCTCTCAGCATCCTGGCTCGTTTTGTGGCCACAGGCAGACACCGACCTCAGCACTGGTCTGCTGCTAAGAGGGTTTTGCGTTATCTTGCAAGTACATCGGGCATAGGGTTAGTGCTAGGCGGACGCAGGTCAGTGGTCCTTACTGGACACACAGACGCTTCTTGGGCAGACGACGCCGAGACGCTCAGGTCTTCCCAGGGCTACTGCTTTAGCCTTGGCTCAGGTGCTGTCTCGTGGAGAGCTACCCGCTCCTCGTCTGTTGCCCAGTCCAGCTGTGAGGCTGAGATCTACGCCGGTGCCATGGCGGCACAGGAGCTCCGCTGGCTGACCTTCTTGCTCACTGACTTAGGTGAGCGGCCTAGCTCTGCCCCGGTCCTGTACGCTGACAACAGGGCCATGATTCTCCTGTGTCAGGAGCCTCGACTCGAGGGCAGAGCAAAGCACATCCAGCTGCGGTACTTCCTCCTGCGCGAGCTACAGCAGCGTCGCCAGGCTCGCGTAGTACACTTGGCCTCCGGTGCCAACACAGCTGATATCTTTACGAAGGCGCTTGCGCCTAAAGATCATCAGCGGCACTGTTTACAGCTTGGTCTGGTTCCTGTAGTCTCTCACTTACTCGGGCTTTGACTTTGTACTGTCGTATATATATATATATGTATACACTCAGACTGGACTTGTGTCCTCTCACAGTGGTTGGACTAGTAGTGCCGCCCTGTACTCGTTCTTGCCTTGTCTGTACTCCTTCTGACTGGTCTTTTAGACCCTTGTCTCAGAGGCTGGACTAGTAGTGCCACCCTGAGCTGCTTGTCTAGAACATTCCCCTATGCAGTCCAGGGGGTGTGTCAAACATGTGTAGTTATCATGTTTGTATAGACTGTATAGGGTCACCTTCTAGAGAGTACAACATTTAGGTATATGTTTGTGTACTCTCTCTCTCTTATTATTAATTCTAGGTTTGATATTGCAATATGTTGTGTGATTCCCAACCATAGCAGCGTTTTTGTTTTGTATCACTCTAGCTTTCATCTGTCATCTTGTCTTGGTCTAGTTTGGCTGGGTCCAGCAATTTTAGATGATTTCCTGCTGGTTTTTGCTTTATGATTGGCTTATATTCGGTTCATTGTTAGATCCTACATGGGTACGTGTTATGAATTAATCAGAGTAATAACAGGTAGTGTAATAAAGGAGTCGTGATTCAAGAGTGTCGATACAAATGAGGGCCTAGGCATTTATTGTCAGAAAGAGAGAATGAATGGACTAGTGTGAGAAACCTAGAACATGTACCTGTCCTGTTGGGGTTCTACTCACTAGAAGCACACACCTAGGCTAGCCTATAACTTCTCCATACAGCATATGTATAAGTTGACACACCCCCTAGGCTAGAGAAGGGGTGGTGCTAAGCAAGAAGCACACATCTCAGGGTGGCACTACTAGTCCAACCACTGAGGTAGGGGTCCTGAGACCAGTCAGCAAGTGTACAAGCAAGACTAAAGCAAGCCAGGGCGGCACTACTAGTCCAGCCACTGGAGGTAAGGCAACAAGGCCAATCAGACAGGTAAATATAGTAGAGAGTACACAATCAGGGTCCTAACAGGTGAGTAGCTACAGGAACAAGATCAAGCTGTACACAGTGCCGCTAATGATCTTTAGGCGCAAACGCCTTAGTAAAGATATCAGCTGTGTTGGCACCTGAGGCTAAGTGAACTACGCGGGCCTGGCGACGCTGCTGTAGCTCGCGCAGGAGGAAGTACCGCAGCTGGATATGCTTCGCTCTGCCCTCAAGCCGAGGCTCCTGACACAGGAGAATCATGGCCCTGTTGTCAGCGTACAGGACTGGGGCAAAGCTAGGCCGCTCACCTAAGTCTCTGAGCAAGAAGGTCAGCCAGCGGAGCTCCTGTGCCGCCATGGCACCGGCGTAGATCTCAGCCTCACAGCTGGACTGAGCAACAGACGACGAGCGAGTGGATCTCCAACAGATAGCACCCGAACCAAGGCTAAAACAGTAGCACTGCGACGACCTGAGGGTCTCAGAGTCGTCTGCCCAAGAAGCGTCTGTGTGCCCAGTGAGGACCACCGGCCTGCGTCCTCCTAGCACTAACCCCATGCCTGATGTACTAGCTAGATATCGCAAAACCCTCTTAGCGGCCGATCAGCGCTGTGGTTGGTGTCTGCCAGTGGCCACAAAGTGAGCCAGGATGCTGAGAGGGTATGCGAGATCTGGGCGAGTGCAAGTCATCAGGTACATGAGGCAACCCACCTGCTCTGCGTAGGGGCCACTGGGCTCTACAGGCTCCTCAGGAACAGGAGCGGAGAGCCCATGGTCTACAGGTAGAGGTGTGGGCTGTGCGGAGGAGAACTGAAGACCGAACCTCTGAAGGACCTAGTGCACCAAGTGTGACTGTGTCAGAGTGATGGTGCGTGCTGCTCTGTCCCTAGAGATCTGTAGGCAAAGATAACGATGCAGCTCTCCAAGGTCAGTGCAGGTGTGTCCCTTCAGAAGCTCGGCCTTCACAGAGGCCAGTGCGCCCCTGTCAGCAGTAGCGAAGACCAGGTCATCTACGTAGACAAGGATGTAGAACGGAGTCTGGCCGGAACGCACAAACAGTGAAGGGTCAGCAGAGGACGGAAAGAACTGCAGGTCTGCTAGCGTGGCACGCAGCATGTCGTGCCACTCGCGGGGAGCCTGGCGAAGGCCGTAGACTGGGCGCCTGAGAAGCCACTGAGTCCCAGGGGGGAAGGTACCAGTGAAGCCCTGTGGTCGGCGCAGGTAGACCTGCTCGTGTAGACTGCCCTGAAGAAACGCAGTGGAGAAGTCAAGGGAGTGAAGCTCGTAGCGACGCATTGCTGCTACGTGTAGCAGAGCCGGAAGAGTAGTCATCTTCGGGGTCGGGGCAAAGGTCTGAAAGAAGTCCACCCCCTAGCGCTGACTGAAGCCTCTAGCCATGTAGCGCGCATTGAAGATAGGCGGCTCTCCAGGGGGGCGCTTCATCTTGAAGAGCCACCGACCATCGACTACGTTCACCACAGGAGGGGGAACTGCGTCGACGTAAGTGCCGGTGGACCTCCAAGATGCCATCTCCTGCTCCATGGCAGCTATCCACTGAGAGGCCCAGGGTCCCGAGGTGGCCTCAGCGTAGGTGCGTGGGGTCGGGATGTTGAAGGCGTCTGGGTCACCCTCTGGGACTAGGAGTATGGAGCAGAGATGGGGAGCGGCCTCGGAAAGGAAAGCAAGCTCGTACTGCCTGTCCTCCAGAACGTCACTGCCAAGGGCAGGTGCACCCCCAGCGAGAGGAGGACGGGCAGGGTCAGAGACCAGAGCGGTAGCGTAGTCAAGGCGGCGTGTAGAGGCGAAGTCAGCGACAGCAGCGACAAGCGCGTCAAGACGCGAGACAGGAACAGACGGGTCTGTGACAAGAGAGGCATGTCCCGAGGGACAAGGGGACGAGCAGCACGAAGGTAGTCACACAGCGGGGGAGGTGCGACAACAAGCGACGAGGGAGGAGGGGAGGACGAGACGAGTGAGAACGGAGCAACATAGGGTGGGAGCGCAGGACAGGAGAGACGGGATGAGCACGTGAGGGATGGCGAGACCAAACGTGGGACGGAGGTGTAGGGTTAGGAGACAGCGGAGGGGACACAAGAGGGGAACGAGGAGGAAGTCGGGCCGGAGACGAGTTCGGCGGCGGGAACACAGGGTGTAGACAGGAAGGGGAGCCTGGCGCAGGCAGTAGACCGGGCGCCTGAGAAGCCATTGGGTCCCATGGGGGAAGGTACCAATGAAGCCCTGTGGTCGGCGCAGGTAGACCTGCTCGTATAGGCTGCCCTGAAGAAAGGCAGTAGAGAAGTCGAGGGAGTGGAACTTGTAGTCGAGCTGTGCTCCTACGTGTAGCAGCGCCCGAAGAGTGGTCATCTTCAGGGTCAGGGCGAAGGTCTGGAAGAAGTCAACCCCCTCGCGCTGGCTGAAGCCTCTGGCCAAGTAGCGCGCCTTGAAAACAGGGGGTTCTCTAGGGGGGCGCTTAACCTTGAAGAGCCACCGACCATCGACTACGTTCACCCCAGGCTGGGGAACTGCGTCGACGTAAGTGCCGATGGACCTCCAAGATGTCATCTCCTGCTCCATGGCAGCTATCCACTGAGAGGCCCAAGGTCCCGAGGAGCCTCAGCGTAAGTGCGAGGGGTCGGGATGTCGAAGGCGTCTGGGTCACCCTCAGGGACTAGGAGCATGGAGCAGAGATGGGGAGCGGCCTCGGAAAGGAAAGCAAGCTCGTACTGGTGGTCCTCTAGAACGTCACTGCCAAGGGCAGGTGCACCCCCGACGGACGGAGGACGGGTAGGGTCACAGACCAGAGCGGTAGCGTAGTCAAGGCGGCGGGTAGAGGCGAAGTCAGCGATAGCCGCGACAAGCGCGTCAAGGCACGAGACAGGAACAGACAGGTCTGTAACAAGAGAGGCAAGAACCCGAGGGACAAGGGGACGAGCGGCACGGAGGTAGTCAGACAGCGGGGGAGGTGCAACAACAAGCGACGAGGGAGGAGGCGATGGGAGGAGGGGAGGACGAGACGAGTGGGAACGGAGCAACATACACTGAGGGAAAAAACCGTCCGGATGTTTGGCACGAAGTTGGGTTTTTAGGCTTTAAGACTACTGTATGGTAAATTTGCAAGATGCATGGTGGTACGCGTTGGGAGAGGCACAAAGTGGATGCGTTCACAGCACTAAGAACTAGAATAGTACATTGGATCCAACTCATATTCCAAAAGATATACAACGAGTACATCCGGACAGTTTTTTCCCAGGACAAAGAGCAAACTTCCGAACAACGTTTCTAGTACCTAGTCCACCTACTCTTGGCGTTGATCACCATCCGCACCCTCCTAGGCATGTTATCTATGGGGTTAGTGCAGACCTTTGCATGAAGCTTCTCGCACTCTTCCTGGACCCACCATTTTGCATAAGGGGGTGAGCACAAGGAAAATTGCAAAGTATTTGAGCGTATGCATAAGTATTGTACACAAATTCTGAATGAATGTTATCTCAGAGACTAGCCAAGCCGAGGGGTGGCCAAAGATGCCATTAGTTAAATGGTCCCGGCTTATCATGGGTCGTCTTCGTTGTATCGTTCTAGGGTAAAATCACGAATAGAGTGGCAAAATCTAGCATTCCCGCCACGAATCTTAGGGTAACAGAGCACGGTCGACTGAACATCCTTTCACTGTGTGAACCATGTTAAAATCCGCGGGTCTAGTGACGGGGCAGCAGTCGAAGAAACCTCGACTGTTTGGGAAGAATATCTGGATTGAGGTCTGGTGAGAAAAAGGGTCACTCCAGCGCAACATACTTATGCTCTCCAAGGCATTCCATGTCATTTTCCCTGCCTAGGCTTGGAATGGCTCGGAGAGCATGGATATGTAGCTCTGGAGTGCCCCTCTTCCTCACCAGACCTCAACCCTGATATTCTTCCCAAACAGTCGAGACTTCTTCAACTGATGCACTGTCACTAGACTCGCGGATTTTAACATGATTCTAACAATGAAAGGATGCTCAATCGACCGTGCTCTGTTACCCTAAGTTTCGTGGCGGGTATGCTAGATTTTGCCACTCTATTCGTGATTTCACCCTACTCTGATTCGACGAAAACAACTCATGATAAGCCGGGACCATTCAAGTAATGGCATCTTTGGACACCCCTCGGCTTGGCTAGTCTCAGAGATTACATTCAATCTGAATTCGTGCACAATACTTATGCATACGCTCAAATACTTCGCAATTTTCCTTGTGCTCACCCCCTTATGCAAAATGGTGGGTCAAGGAAGAGTGCAAGAAGCTTCATGCAAAGGTCTGCACTAACCACATAGATAACATGCCTAGGAGGGTGTGGATGGTGATCAACGCCAAGAGTAGGTGGACTAGGTACTAGAAACGTTGTTCGGAAGTTTGCTCTTTGTCCTG